AGAGAGAGAGAGAGAGAGAGAGAGAGAGAGAGAGAGAGAGAGAGAGAGAGTGAGGAAGGGAGAGAGAGACAGAGGGAGAGAGAGACAGAGAAAGAGAGAGAGAGTGTGAGAGAGAGAGAGAGAGCTATATAGAGACAGAAAGAGAGAGAGAAAGAGAGAGAAAACGCTATATATATATATATATATATATATATATATATATATATAGAGAGAGAGAGAGAGAGAGAGAGAGAGAGAGAAAGAGAGAGACAGAGTCAAATAGAGAGAGAGAGAGGGGGAGAGAGACAGAGAGAGATGAGAAAGGGAGATAGAATGAGAGAGAGAACGCACCTTTTCCTTCATTGATTTATAACTGTTGTGGAAACAATGGCCCCGGCGACTTGGTTGCTGATCTTAAACCGCAATATGACGACGCGTGTCGTGACGCGCGAAAAGGGAGGTGCCGACGCATGAGAGGGCAACACAGCGAATGGAGACGTGGGAGATTGCGACGCGAAGGAGATGGCGAGGCAAGGGATATGGCGACAAGGGAGAGAGAGAGAAGCAAGGTAGACGACGAGGGAGACGGCGACGAGATGGATGTGTCGCTGGCAAGGGCGGGTGGTCCGGGCATGCGACGGGCATTTTCGGCCGTGAGGGTTGGCGACACCTGCGATTGCCTGCTGCTTCGGACGATTGCAATGCCCACCTGCAAATTCGCGGAATGGCGCCACCGTTATTCGAATTGCGGATACATCCGCGCGGGGCCCAAGAAACGAAAGTAGGCGGGAAAAGTCACGCCGGATGACGCATTGGAACTGTTGATATCACGGTAAAATCCGCGCGGGCCCCGATAATCAAAAGTGAACGGGAAAATTTGCGCCAGATGATGCATTGGAACCGTCGATAGCACGGTGAAAAAAGGCCAGTCCTCTCGAAATCACGGCCCTCCATCCCGCGACGGTTTCGGATCGGGCGATTTCGTGAGGACGGCCCGTCAAAAAAGAGACAGCCTGATGTCACAGCCCCCGACGCGGCAGTCCGCCGTTACTAACCCTGCGGCGGGCAGCTGAAGGGCCCCTCAAGCCCCGCTCAATGCACTCACCGTTCCCCTGTCGGTCACCAAACGAATGGGGGTGGCTGTCACACCCATTCGCTGGTGTCATTTATTCCGCGTGCTGCCTTTGCGACGCGTCCACCATCGCTCGAAGTCGCCGACATCATATCGCAGGCCCCTTGTGCATCCTCGCCTTCGTTTCTCCAGCAATCGTCGATAGCGGGGGGCGCTAACGAAAACGTCACGCGACTGTAGACCTTGCGCGTCGTCCCGTTCGCGCTGTGCTCTTCTTGTGTCGGCTGGAGGCGTTTGTCGACTCGCAGGTCAGTAAGAAGCCCACGCCCCCTGCTCGGCCCCTTCACCATTTCAAGCCCCCACCTCTTCCCATTGCCCTTCCGCTCCTTCGACCGTGCAAGTCTTGTTCTTTGCTACCACCTGCTCCGCCAATCACGCGCGCATGATCTTGAGCGCACGACGCCCACCGATCACAACCACGGAAGACCCCATGCAGTGACACACGTTGACGTCATCATCTTGCACATGACGTCAGCGACGGGCAATGGCTTGCGGCTTTCACAGTCAAGATCGTCGAATGCCTCCGACGACCGCATCTGACGCGTGGAGAAAGTCGCATCGCCCTCGAGTCTTGGCGTCCTCAACATCGCTTGTCGGTACACTTTCTTGGACCCTGGCTCGCGGGTCGTCTTCCCCTAGTCTGCTTAGGATATCGCAATGTAGTTGGTCGTGCAAGTCTTCTTCTGCATCACCACCTTCTCCGTCAATCACGCACGAGTCGACATGCGCACGATCTTGAGTCCACGATGTCCGCAGCTCACAACACGAAAGTTCCCTTCCACTGACACACGCTGACGTCACCATCTTGCGCATGACGTCAGGAATTCGAAATGGCTTGCGGCTTTCGCAATCAAGATCGTCGGACGCCTCCGACGACGGCATCTAACGTTTGGACGAAGTTTCATCGTCGTTGCTCCCTGGCGTCCTCAAGATCGCGATATGTGATCACCGCTGCCATAACACATCATCCGATAGACGTCAACATCGGAGACGTCATCTGAAAAACGCGTGTCGATCGACTTTCAGATCCCGTCCATCCATCTCCGGTGTTGACGTCTATCGGATGATGTGTTATCGCAGCGCGGATCACATCATCCCATGTCCCCGATAGCGGAGCGCTGTGCTGGAACCCTCACGACAAACTCGCACCTCCGACAGGAATCGCCCGTGTCGCACGCACAGCCAACAGTGGTGAAGCCACCCATCCACAACGTTCAGCGACGACCCGTTGCGCACAATGGATACCCATGGCGAATCCGAAACATCCCAGATTACCGCCGATCCCGCGACATCCCACCGCCAAGGGCCAACTTCGAGCTCGTTTCCGATCGACTTGGTGATTGAACATGTTTATCGCGGTTGTGGTCGACATCAGGATCTTTTTCTGGCTGTCTTGAACGTTCCCTGTCTCATCGCCCGTTCTCGCACACGCAGCTAGCAATGAGGAACCGCCACGCAACTGGGCGCGAGACGCCGGACACGCATCGGCAACATTTTGGATATAGAACTAGTGCTTACAAGTTCCATCGCGCCCACAAGAAAACGTCACAGCACCTCCGCCCGTGCGGCAGCCCGTCCCCTCGCCACAATTCGTTTTGGGTGAACACTGACGTGGACAATCCTCGCGATAATAACAGCCTCGAAATCTGAGCTGAATGAACGCACCAATGACCTCGTGGAACGATCAACTCTCGATCCATGTCGATCACATTTCGATTCCAATTAATCGTAGCCGCGTTTTTCAGAGCAGCTTAGGGAGGCGTGCACGAGATTGCAACGGGACAGAGAGAGTGCTGTTTGTGCCACTTGTTCCGGATGGAATCGGATTCATCCGAGCTCGGGATGAAGGCAATAGTAGATGTCATTGGATGCCAGTGATTGGATGACTATGCCCCCCTTACGTCCGACCCATTGTTTTCACGCAACGTCCCCCCATCGAGAGTTTTGAGGCGACCCCCTGTCCATGACAACCCGCCACTCATGACTTTTGTTGGTGTTCTGTCTCCCATGAGGGGTTATGCAATTCTCAGGCTGGACGTTTTTGTTCCGCCTCACTACGGAATGTGTGATGTAGTTCGGATGAATCCGAACCACAACCCTCACCTCGTGGGAAGTCTCAACGGGGACCGCATCCCTCCGATGTCTCAGTGGAAGGGACAACGACGCCACAGGGGATCGCTTTCGAAGTAAACATCTCCACAAATCATGACTCCGATAGCTCCCCATCTGCTTTTGTCTTCGTTTGTAGCTCGGATGAATCCGAACCACAACCACAGACGACCGACGGACGACAGTCATGGCTTTTGTCACTGTTTATTTCTTCCTCATTGTGTAGTGCAACACTCACACAGGACTTATCAGTTCCGCGTCACTCCTAAACGTGTGATGTAGTTCGGATTAATCCAAACCACATCCCTCAGCGCAACGGGAGTCCCGAGGTGAATATCACGCCCCGTGACGGAAGCTCTCATTGGAAAAGGAAAACGACGGCACATGGCACGCGTCCTGAATACAACATACAATGACCGAAGGTGGGCACTCATGGCATTTGTTGTTGATTTTTCCTTCCGAGCGGCGAAATGTGAACATTTCGCAGGACGTCTGGGTACCGCCTGACTGAAACCGTTTGCTGTGGTCCGGATTAATCCGAACCTCATAGATCGACGGCAATAGAGTCTGATTTGTCTGCCACATCGCGCAGGCGGGTCTCATGAACTGGGGATGGCACTCTTGGCTTTTGTCTGAGTTGTTTTCTTGCACATGGGGTAGTAATGCAAACATCGCAAAGGATATTTTGCTTCCTAGTGGCTCCGCCTTCGATTCCAGGGGTGTCTCATCCTTCTTCCACATCCCTCCGAGTGAGGCCAGGTCGCTGGGTGGTGGCTCGGATTAATCCGAGTCACGGATGGTCGCACGACATCCCATTTAATGTCTATCTTTCCGGGGCAGTTGCTCGGATTGATCCGAACCAAGGATTGGTAGGCTTGGATGAGCTTCTGTCTAGGACTTCTGTTGGCGGGTGGCTCGGATTGATCCGAACCWCGGATCCGGGGCGGGGCGGTAGGCTTGGATGAGCTTCTGTCTTGCACTTCTGTTCAACTCGTATTCAGAATGACCGTGGTAGGTAGAGTTTGTGCTTTCATGGCTCTGCAAAAAGTACTTGTCATGTCGACTGTGCGAAAACGTCTTCTATGGATGAGGTGGTGTAATGTGGGTTATACGGCGTCGGTATGCTGTTCCGTTCCTCCCCCAGATATACAGAAACGGATGTTTTGCACACGACGGCATGGGTCGTCCGACTGTTTTGTCCGTCTCAATGTGCTTTACGGCGTGGGTTTTGATGATTTTAGGAAATCCCGCATCTGCTCTGGAACGGGTCCCTGCATGACTTTTAGAAAACACTCCATTGGCTTGGTGAACTTCTGATTGACGACCTTCTGTAAGGGATTTGCAATGCGATGTGGAAAGATCTTTTTTTTGGACGATTTCCGATTGACGGCCTTCTGTAAGGGCTTCGCCGATAAAAAAAGTGTTGGGCGTTACAACTGGGTGTGGGCCTCGTCGGGGAAACTATCGTTCACCGACATTGTTTACAACGGTCTCCTCTTCCGTATGTCTATCCATGTGTGTGTGTTGTGTAGGGAGTTTAATGTCGTCGAGTCGTTCGACAAGCATCGCCATGACAGCCTAGAAGCACATGCGCTTAGCAAAACCCTTTCCACCTTGTGCGAGATCATTGCGGTATCATGACGGTCAAACGTGGATCGACGATGCAACCGAGGACGACTTCGAAGACGACCCATGGACGACCGTTGTCCCTTACATGAACCGGCATCTTGACGAATGGAACGATAATGATTGGAAGGCGATGGAGCGTTCCTGCCCTTAGGCAAGCCATTACAAGTTTGCCAACATGCTGGAGTTCGGGAGCCTCATTGCACTGCCTGATGGTATCCTCCATCGAAAGACCCTGGACGATAAAAGTAAACCGGTTCGCTTCCGTACCAGCTTCAGACGTCGCCTCCACTGCGAGTACATCACATCTTCGCCACGAACTTGGGGAAGTTCGCAAAAGCAAGAGTTGGTGGACTGCGCTCGTCATTGTTCATTCTTGGAACACTACCCAACCCGTTGCCCAGGGACTTCTCCACGAGCTCTGTCGTACTGTTGTGTGCGGTTGACGGATGACGGATGTCCTTTCGCCAGAGTGCTATGTGTGGCTTCTTCAAGCAAAAGTAGGAAACTTGTGGATGCAGTTGTGCTTGTGTCACGCAACGAGATGGTGCTTCAGGGATCCAAGTTCAAGGCGGTCATGTCTCGCCCAGATGTAGATGGGCGGTCGGACTTGGTGAGAGCAGGTCAGGTAAGAGTTTTTCTGTCATTGTGGGATGATGTGGAAAAGAAAGTGTCTAAAAAACGAGACTGTATAGGGAATTCCTTAGCACGACAAGGAGGGTTTGTCAGGATGAAATACATGTCCGTGTTTTCGAAGAACCCAACAGTCGACGAGCCGCAGATCCATGTGTATGGATCATCTATGAATGATATGTATGGCTTCCGTTCACGACCTCGTCTGCGGGAAAGCCCGTATGTCACAAGATACGGACGTGTGGTCAGACCTTGTGTTTAAGAAAAAAGGAGACTCCCTCATGACGACTAAAGTTCACACCGGAGTTGTGGCATTTGAACTAGCACTGCAGACTTGCGAAGGTGACGTTCTATAAGTGTTTCGGATTCATCCGAATCATCAATCAGATGCATGCGGGTGCACCCAATGTTGAACGCGATGCATGAAGGGTTCCCCAAGGATGATCCTTGGCCAAACAACAACCCGTCGGATTCGGTATGTGCGACTCGCTAACTGCACACCGTCGAATTTATTTTCTTGCACGCCTTCGAGGCAAGCGAGGTTTCCAAACAGTCCACCGCCCTCTAGATCGTCTGGCACTGCCATGTTTCGTAATTGTCCGCGATGGTTTTCAGATAGGACGCCATGAAATATGGTGCCCGTGTCCGTGGCACTCTGTGCAACAGCCGTTGCATGGCAGAAAGTGACGTGAGCGATGCCGGCCGAGGCTGCAGTCATGCATGTCCAGCATGACATCTTGTGTCTTGGATTCATCCGAAGTCGCCGGTTGCACAAGCGTTATCATTCCCATCCCTGAAAAAGTCGTCTGTTTCCCTAGACACCTGCTGAAAGAAACGCCTCTTTCCGTCAATACGCTGCATACGGGCCGATGATCAGCAGCTGCGCAAAATACATAGCACGTCCCGATTGCAAAATCGTCGGGTCATTTTCTCGCGACGGCGAAGGCTCGTGATCACCCCCGGCGACGGCGACGATGGTTTTCGGATTGGATGCCATGAAATGTGGTGCCATGTCTGTAGCCCTCTGTGCAACAGCCGCTGCCTGGCCGAAAGTGACGTGAGCGACGCTGGCCGACGCCGCAATCTACCTTGTCCGGCATGTCATCTTTTGTCTCGGATCCATCCGAAGTTTCAGGCCGCTCAAGCTTGTTCCTTCTCGTCACCGAATGATCAGCACCTGCACAGAACACAAAAACACTTCCCGATTGGAACATCATGGGGTCATTGCGTTGCCGACTCCCACATTATGATTACAGTGAACAGCGGCATGATGGCAGATCCGCCTCTCCGATGTGGGTCTAACGGTGGATTACGTCAAATCTGCTCTCAAGGATCCACACCGCAGAGGGGGGCCAGCAATCGACCACTACTTGCTTGTAAAACGTCATATGATGTGTCGATACAAACGACATTCAGAACTAATCGGTGAGCATCTGGTGCTACGCCAACAAGTTCGTCATGCGGCCGCGATATTCCCCCGCGATTGCTCATTTTGGGGTTCTCGCGTCATGGACTCCCTCATGATGACTACAGTAAACAGCGGTAGGGTAGCAGGTCCCCTTCGCGGATATGGATCTCAC